GAGAGAGAGAGAGAGCGTGTACGTGCATGCGGTGGTAGTGCGGGCACCGCGATTCGGTTGCCACGACGTGTCCCAGCGAATAAGTGCCATTACCTGGAAGACCCCGGGTCAACCTGCGAGAACGTGCGCGAACATCGGTGCGAAAATCGATCGCGGACGCGCTTGATGATCGTGAAGACGCGTTGCGGGTTTTTGTCTTATCGCTTCCGTTCAAAATACACCCGCGCGCCTACGTTCACATGTGCCGTGTAAAAGCCGTTGTCCTCGTGACACATATTAGAAATAGGAACGCCCCGTGCACTCGCGTGCGCCCGCCGTTACCGCCGCGGTGCCGCGTGAAGGAATTCGCCCGGCGCACGCGACGCCTGAAAGGCCTACGGTTTTTTTTTTTTTTTTTTCGCCTCCGGGTGCGCACCCTCGACCGATAGGCGCGCGTCGTGAGGTACGAAGATTTCAGGGGTGCACGTGCGATCCGGCGAGATTCCCGAAAGGAAAAAGAGGGACGTGTGGGTGCGAGGCGACGCCGCCGGCGCTGCATGTCGCACGTGTTACTCCGATCGAGCCGGATCGATCGCCCGGAAGTGTGCTCGAGCCCGAGGCTGGTGCAGTCATATGCGTCTTACTCGCCGCGTGCGGATTTTCGCGAACGAGAGTGATCCTCGCGAACGTGCGCACCCTCGCTGGTCGCAGCGATGTCGCGTCGTCGCGACGTCGTCCGCGCGACGAGTCGGCCTCGTCCATCGTAAGCCTGATTCCTACGTTCCACCCTCGCGCTCCGTTCTACATTCGCATTTTCGCCGGAGTGTTGGTGACGAAAGTGAATTTTTATTACGTATATCATGGATGTACGTGGTATCATCTACGAGGAAGAGTTGATTATTGTCTGTATCATGTGTTACTAAATTGGTAAGCGAGTGTTCGACGACGTTTCGCAGAGACATTTCGTCGTTGAGGAGCTTCGTTGAAGAGCGCTTGATTTTTCGTGAATTCGGAAATGTGTCCATTGCCCATGTAATTTTTTTCAGAGCTCGCTCAAGATAGCTATATAATGTAATAATTTTCAGAAAAAATTCGCTACTGGTTTTCCCTATTCTATGTCAATCGAATTTGCTTTTCTCTCGACACACAGGAAATTTCCTATGAAATTCAAGCGAATTGCGTATGAAGTTGTGTCGAAGTGGAGAAGGATAAATATGCAAAGGGAGAAAAAAACGTTAATCGAGGATCCGATTTCTCGTTTACCAGCGAGGAACTAATCAAATCTGGTCAATCAAGTCTCGTGTTCTCGTCCCGGACGGATTGCTCTATTTCGACGAGATTCTTCAATGCGGAAATCTCGTCATTTTAATACATTCGTGAAGATCCGCCAGAGCGATTTTTTTAAGTAGCGTATGTATTATACATGAAAGGGACAGAAATAGGGATCGTTTATTAAACCAAGAATTAGCCTTTTTTATGCCATATTGTTTTATCGTGCGATCAGATATAATGTTGGAAATAATTATCCCATTTAGAAAAAAGAATTTAGAAAAAGATCGTTTCGACTGGCAGTCACGCCAGTGACAAACATTTTGCTATAACGACCACGATTCGTGCTTTTATTCTCTTTATTGTATTCATCTGTCGGCGATTCAGCCCTCCCTCGCCGTCCTTCCATGTGCCTCGCACATAAAACAGACAGACAGGTTGTGCCATTCGACGAAACTGTTTTCGCTGGCACAGTTCTCGTCGCCTTTTCGGGCAATAGATCCGCGCAAAGTGCAACAATAGTCGAATTGCAACGCAATGTAGATCTCCTCGGGATTATTCGTCATAATCCTCTCTGTTAAAGAGGTAAAAACGAGAGAGAGAGAGAGAGAGAGAGAGAGAGAGAGAGAGAGAGAGAGAGAGAGAGAGAGAGAA